AATACATTTTGAGGAGAGTAGAGTGAAGGTGCCTTGAAAAAGCTGTTACTAGAAGCCTCAGGCCTTGGATAGGCTACAGTCAGGGTACATACTGCTGGAAGCTGGGGCAAGGAGAATTCGTGTTATGTTGTGGCACAGAGTTTAGCAACCCTGTTGCCTGTAGTAACATGGAAAGCAGAAAATGTGCCTAACGAGTTGGATGATCTATTATAGCTAAGGATATTTCCAAGTAAGGTGTTAAAGTGGTCTCTCCTTGCTGCTTATAGTAAAATGCAAGAGGAGAGACAGAAACTAAAGCAGCAGTTCTCAAATGAGAGGGATGTTGCCTCCTGGGGGACGTTTGGCAATGTCTGGAGACATTTGTGGTTGTCAAAACTGGAGAGGTTGCTGCTGGCTTCTTAGTTAGTACAGGCCAAGGACACTTAAATATCCTACAATGCACAAGACAGATGCCTCTCCCCACCCCTTCCTCCCCCCACATCAAAGAATTATCCTGCCCAAAACGTCAATAGTGATGAGGTTGAGAAATGCTGAGCTAAAAGGAAGGATGATTAAGAAGGATCCAGGACTTCATAGCAAAAAATTCTCAGCCTCTCCAAATGGCAAATGATGGTAAAACTAAGAAATGGTTTCCTAACAAAGCTCAAATCTAGCGCATTGCCAGAAAAACAAAACAAAACAAAATAACATGGTCCAAAAATGAAACTGAGAATGTGACTATAAAACCTTTGGTTTACATCTCAAAGATTTAAGACAATGCCTCAGTGTACTATTCGGTCAGATAAAAGACCTCTAAAGAGGTGATAGGTGTGCCTCACAGATCCTGTAAATCAAACAAAGCAGATTCTAGAAAGCTTAAGGGTATTTGTCCCGTAACCATTTAGGCAGAAGCCTAATGGAGAGAAGGACTTATCTCAAAGAAACTGTGAGCATGGTTTTTGTCTAATAGAGTGGACCTGAATCAGATTCAGAGTGACCCACAAGCTCTTAAAAGAACTATATATCCAGACACATTTCTAGCTTGGGCTTATAGGGATAAAGGGAGTATAGAATAAAAAGAGAATTTCCGGTTCTGAACAAGATGGGGTAGATGTATTCCTCTTTATCCCCCCCCCCTACTAAGTACAGCTTAAAATGCTGTACGTTATATATAAAACAAACATAAGAAGGCAGACCAACCAGGAACCCCAGGACTCAAACGATACAGCAGTGAGTCCCTGGGTTTTCTTTCTGCTAGGGTGCTGGAAAAGCCTGCAACCTGGAAATGCCAAACAGGCAGACAAAAATCACCCCCATGAAAAACCTGTTCTCTACTGTCCAAGGACTGGGAAAGGGGCACCCTAGCAAGACATAAATCTTTTGACATGAAATGCCCCACTCCAGCGAAACCACAGTTCCGACCTCCACTAGCAGAGGTAGAGGGGAAAGCCCAGACTTGAATCTTTTTCTCTCCCCAGCACCTCCAGGTGGTGGTAGAGGAGGCAAAGTAGGGAGCCCGGGCTTCCTCACTGCCCAGCAGTAACAAGTACCCTTCCCCACAACTTCTATGGTGTCAGTGGAGGCTTTGTCGGGAGCCCACGCTGCCATCCCCATCCAACAATAATGAGGTACCACTCCCTTCCCCCCAATGTAAAGGAGGCCGAGAGCCTAGATGGCCACCTCTGCCTGGCGGTAATGAGGCAACCTTCCCCTTCCCAGGACTATGGGGTGTTGTCAGTTGGGGCCATGTGGGAAGCCTGGACTTTCACTCCCACCTGGTGGTAAAGAGTTGGTGCCCCCCGTATCACTGGTCCCAATCAGCAGAGGCCTACAAAACAGAAGACTTAACCCAAATAAAAATAACAGAAAGTACTGGTGAGGAAGTGGAGAAACTGGAATCTTTGTGCATTGTTGGTGGGAATATAAAATGGTATAGCCCCTATAGAAAACAGTAAGGCGGTTCCTAAAAGATTAAAAATAGAATTACCAGATGATCTATCAATCCTGCTTGTGAGTATAGACCCAGAAGAATTTAAAGCAGGGTCTTGAAGAGATATTTGTACACCTGTGTTCACAGCGGCATTATTCACAATAGCCAAAACGTGGAAGCAACCCAAGTGTCCATCAATAGATGAATGGGTAAAACAAATACGGTATACACGTAGAATAGAATATTATTCAGCCTTAACAAAAGTAAGGAAATTCTGACACACGCTGTAACATGGATGAACCTTAAGGACATTTTGCTATGTGAAATAAGCCAGTCACAAAAAGACAAATATTGTATGACTCCACTTACATAAGATACCTAGAGCAGTCAAATTTATAGCAGCAGAAAATAGAACGGTGGTTGCCAGGGGATGTGGGAGGGAAAAATGGGGAGCTGCTATTTAACGGGTACTGAGTTTCAGTTTTGCAAGATAAAAAGAGTTCTGGAGATGGATGGTGGTGATGGTAGCACAACAATGTGAATGTACTTAACGCTATTGAACTGTATACTTAAAAATGAGTCAGTGGTGGGCCAGCTGAGTGGCACATTGGTTAAGAGCTGGCGTGGGACGCCAGAGGGCACCGGTTCGGATCCCACATATGAGGGCCAGTGACACTGCCCTCTACAGCTAAGATACTGAACAACAGCTTGACCTGGAGCTGGGCTGCCGTGAGTCACCGGCGACAGCATAGGCTGCAACCCCTGCTGCAGTGGGTTGCCATGGGCTACCATGTGTAGCCAGCAGCCAGTGTGAGGGGCCAGCAGCTGCCGTGAGCAGCCGTCCATAAGCCAGCGACTGATCTGCCTCGCCCGGGAAGAGCGCAATGATGGTGCCAACTTGGGCCAGCGAAGCAACATCTTCCACAACTAGACTGAAGAACAAAACGACAGCAACTTGTCTGTTCCCATTCCCTCAATTCCCCAGCACTGTTCCCATCCCCCAATTCCCCAATACAAATCTTAAAAAAATAAAAATGAGTAAGTGGTAAAAGTTATGTTATGTGTACTTTACCACAACTGAAGAAAAAGAAAAAAAAAAAAAGAGCGGCAGTTTTCCACTCAAGATTCTTGGAGTTAGTCCACAAGGCTTGCCAGCTGTGTGTCCCTGGGTAAGTCTCTCTCCCTACAAATGTGTTTTCCCATGTAAGTGGAAGGACCCAGCAAGATGGAATATGGACAATGGCTGTGGGAGCCATTGCTTGGGTACAAAGTGTGGTCATGGAGAACTCCCTGTCTCCTCGGGGATGAACTGCCTGAGTAGGCAGCTTCTGAAGAGAAAGGGTGAGAGGTGAAAAGCATGGCAGGGGCACCTCGGCCAGGCTCAGCCACCTTGCCTCAGTGGCCAGGGCCCCTTCAGTGTCCTCTGGACCCTCAGGACAAACTGCAACCTGCCTGGTGGTCAAGCCCTGAGCGGTCTGTGTCGCTCGCGTCTCCAGTTTCAGCCGCTGCCACTCTTGGCCCCTAGTTTCTACTCTGGCAGCCACATAACTGTTCGTAATTCCCCATCCACACCTATATTTTTAAAAACTCTCTCTTTGAGAATGCCCTGCCCACCTCATACCCCTTTACCATTCCTCAGGCTTGTCCTCTGTGTTCCAACAGCCCACAGAATGACTTATCATTGATAATACTACTAATTCCAATTTTTCAAAAAATACTTATTAGGTACCCATTATCTGCCAGGCACTATTCTAGGCTCTTGGCATTTATCAATGAAAAGAACAGACAAAACCTCCTACCCTTAAGGAGCCCATACTCTAGAGGTACCGCTCCCCTAGGCCTTCGAGCTTCCTGAGGCGGGCATGCTCTGCCTCATATGTTGCTGTCCTTGGTGCTTAGCTCTCAGTGGGTCCCCAGCCCTTGGTTCCCGGGGGCCTGAGTGGAAGGTGTAGATGATTCTGATACTGCCCACCAGAGTCCAGTAGAGTCCAGCTGATGAGAACTGAAATTGTGCTGAGCAGGCAGAGAAGCCAAGGAGTATTGGTGTAGACAGGATGGAGAGCGGGGAGGGATCCTCTGTGTCTTCCCTCCCAAGTCACCTCCTGGGTTTCTTCCCTGGGCCACAGCATGTTTAGCCACCCCCTCCTTCTTCACCCCAATAACAAAGGACATGTACATGTAAGAAGCTGCTCTGCAGTGCATGCTTGGTCCATCAGCCCTAAAGGCAGAGCTAAGCACGTCTGTGCACGCCCCGCTCCGCCCGAGACGTGGTCTGGTGTGGTGCGGTTGCCACACTCGGCTGGGTATCAGATTGGCCCACTCTATGGGGTGGAGAAGCTGTTTTTCACAAACTCTCCAGATTATTCTCATGCAGCCCGAATTATTATATCTCATGCAGTGCCCCCTGGTCTGTCCCAACCCTTCACCACAGCGCCCTCCCTGCCCTCATCTCCTGCCACCATCGCTCACCTCTTGCACGTCTCTGCTGTAATCTCATCTTGATGAATCTTTCCCATTCCTCCTTCTACCTCTGCTCTCCTGTCCCCTCTGCCCTGTTTAGTGTTCGCCACACACTTATTTCCATCTGTGGTATGCTGGAGCTGACTCATAAGGGCTCGCTACAGACTATTACATTTTCAGAAACTCTCCTGGCTGGTTAAGTGGAGCCATCATTAAAAACTAAATTATACAAGCTTAATTAAAATAATGATATTAAAAACAAAAGTGAAAAATGCTTAAACTCATCACCTTCTATTTTTTTGACTACTTTTTACTATTACCTATCTCTTGAGTCTTTACAGCTGTAGAACTATAGTAGAAATATATAACATATAATGGTATGTACTCTGCATTTCCATTCAACTCTGTATTCAGTGACATCACATTGGGAGCTTGAAATCAGCTGTGATAGGAATGTTTACACCACAGAAATAAGTAAACGTGATAAGTCAGGTTTGATTTATTGTTTTATTGATTGTCCAGACCAGAGGTTGGCCATGGGCCAAATCCAGGCCATCAACTCTTTTTGTAAATAAAGTTTTATTGCAACACAGTCATGCCCACCCATTTACATATTATCTAGGGCTGCTTTCACACTACAACAGCAGAGTTGAGTAGTTGCAACTATATGGCCTAAAAAAAAAAATTGAGAAAATATACTTCGAGTATTTGAAGACTGTGATCCAATACAGCAAATAAGTTGATCACATCATTGATGATTAAGTGGAATTCCAACATCTTTGTTCTCTCACTTTTTCACTCTCTTCTTACTCTTTAAGTAAAGATTATAATAGACACACACGTATACATACTTTGTTTCAGAGAGCCAACTATTAAACATTTACAAGCACCCACACTGTTTTGTTTGCCTTCCATGTAAGTTCCTGGAGGGTAAGAACTTCCTTTGATTCCAGCACTTAGAACATCTGACATGGAGCAGGTGCAGTTAACGTGTGACATGAATGAACTGATGAGCATAGCTGGGAAGCCCTGGTTTCATGAGATGACTGTCAGACCTGAGGTTTCCAGCTCGGCCATTATCTAGCTGTATGGCCTTGAGTAAATTATTTAACCTCTTTGAGCCTTGGCTACTTGATTAAAAACAAGGAGATAATCCTCTTACGTCCCAGGAAGGTGGTGACAATAGATGCCTCTGTCTGGCACCTACTAGGTTTCTCCACAGATGGGAGTTTCTGCCTCACCCTCCACTCCCCACCCCTGCCACACACGTACTCCTTGGAGACCAAGCCCTGCTGCTGTCACACATTTCAGTGATGTCACAGCTCCCCTCCCTGGGAACTGCAGCACAGCCATCCTGATGCCCACTCTGAGTGCTGGCTGAACTGAGAGGGGCAGGGCACGGAGAGTACCTGGCACCAGTCTTGCTCTGTCTGTGTTTGAAGCCTCAGGGCTCCAGCATGAGTCCATCAGCAAATAAGAGGCCCAAGAATGGAGTGGTTTTCGAGGTTGGACTAGGGATTGGACCTAGAGGGGCCTTACGAGGAGTAACTAGAGCAGGTGGAGGGAAAGGGAGAGGTGAAGGGAGGTCAGAAGAGTTACAATGGTCTCCCCATTTCTGCCCTCAAATCAAGGTGACAAAACTCCTAGTCTAGTGTTGGTAAAATGATGCTGAGTCAAATGGAGAAGCATATGGAGGCGTTCAGGGGGATTCTTCCTGAGGTAGCTCTCCCTCTCTCTGTCTCTCAGATGCAAGATGAAGAACCACGGAACAAGAGACAGCAGCCTGTCAGCAAAGTAATTAAGCTGAACCAACTTAAAACGGTAAGATGCCCCATCCTGGTCCAGCTGAGGGGAGCCTGAGCACCCGTGCAGTACTAGCGGCCCCTGGTTGCCTGCCTGAGGCATCCAGAAGGAATCACAGGCTGAGCTGAGCCAAAGTGTGGGTGGCAGGGAGTAGGAGGCTATCCCAGGAAAGCTGAAGCTTCTGTTTTTCTGGTTTCTTGACTCTGGCAGGTGTTAAAAAATTTGTCGCTCTTGAGGTTACTCAAGAACTCGAAACCCCGGATCATAGAACTGCATAAACTGGCCAAGAGGTGTTGGAATTCACTGCTCAGCGTTCCGACAATCCTGATCTCCTCTGGGTGAGCTCAGCCCCCACAATGGACCCACGCTATCTCTCCTAGAAACAGGAACTGTGCTAAGGAATTGAGAGAACTGAATTTTCACAAAGGCTCTATGAGAGAGGTAGTTATGAGCCCTATTTTACTGAGCTGATGCTCAGGAGATGAAGTGACTTGTCCTAGTTACCTGACCCGGTACGTGGCAGAGCTAGGAGTTGAAGCCATTCCTGTGTGATATCAGAGCTGTGATCACAGCCATGGTCATCATCGTCCAATGATGGGTCTGACCACCACCAGGGGCCCTGAGCAGGAGGGACACTCCTCCCCAAACCCCCTCAAGTCAACACAACCCCAGGATGCACCGGCGCTCACATTTATTAGGTACCTGCTAAGTGCCAGGTACTTAGTTTACCAGCATGCCCCCATTTAGTTTATTCTTCCTAACAATTTTATTAGGTAGATGGAATTGTCCCAGTTTTACAGATGAGGACACCAAGGCGCTGAGAAATTAAATGCCTTACCCCAAATCACACAGATGGTAAGAGGCAGAAGCGAATTTGAAGCCCAGCTTGTCTGTCTCGAAAGCCTGTACTCTACAAGCCACTCTGCCGCTTCACTGCGTCCCACTGTACAGGACTGTGAGGGTCCCGGGCATGACACACAGTGGCACTCAGTCAATAGTGGCCATTATTATCATCAGTATTGTCATTATCTTGAGCCTGAGGCCTCGCCCCGCTCCACACATTCAGCTAGGAAGGTGCTGCCACTTTCCAGGGGACTCAGTGGGTTATAGATACCTTTTGGGAAAGACCCTTCCAGCATTGACTACCTCTGGACCACCCACCTCTCTGGGCTCCTCTCTCTGAGCTGTCCTCCTAGAGCAGGCAAGAGGGTCAGGATCACCTGGCCCATAGTTTTCTAACCTTTTCAAAGGAGCCAAACCTCTTCAAATATGTCCCCAAACCCCAATTGTGCTGTTGTGGGGGGAAGGTATCCTGCCCTTGTGGGTTGAGGGGAACCCTCGTATTTCTTGGAACACAATTTGAAAACAACTACTGGACTAGTTCACCTTATCAACCGAAATCCAGAAGGCAGAACCCTACCCTACTGGCCAATGCAGACCATCCGTATTCCCAGTATCCTACCTACTATTAGTGATTGCCTTTCACCTTCCCAACGTCTCACGTCCCTGCTGCCAATGGTATCACATCCCCTGCCCCCGGGCGCAAGGCCTCTGGGTAGAGAAGTTCCTATTCAGGCCTTCTAGCTTTTTTTAAAAAATATATGTATAAGAGTGTATTTGAGCCCAAACTGACAACAGCTGCCAGGAAGCAAGATCTCAAATGCTCTCCCTCTAGCTTTCTTAACAGGCTCCCCTGAGCTGGCTGCCAGGCTGGAGGGCTGTGCCTTAGTCCTGCTCTGCTGACTGCCGTTCCTCTCCTTGCAGGAACATCGCTGTCTGCGATGGAGTGGACCAGAATATTGGCGAGCCCCAGGAGGCTAGGTGCTCCAAGAAAAAACTGGAGTCCAAGAAGTTAGAATCCAGAGGGAAGTCTAAGGAGTCGAGGCCCAAGGTGGGGGTGGGGAAGAGGAACGAGCCCCAGCAGTCACGTGCAGCAGTGCTAGAGCGAGATCAGGTGGAGTCTGAGACCCCAAGGACACCGAGAGGTCACGGCCTGACCGCCAGCTCTGGAACCCAAGGGAGGCAGCTACCCACTGAGTGCCCCCGGCTCATCTTCCTGAAGACCCACCAGCAGAGAACTGCCTCGGGGGACATGGAGCAAGTGGAAGCCGCTGGCCGGTGGATCTGGTTTGAGGGGCTGCCCACACGAATCCACCTCCCGGGGCCCCGCGTGATGTGCAGGCCATCCACCCTGCGCTTGGTCAAGCGCTGCTGCACCCGCTTCTGCTCTGCATCGCTTGAGCTGCCTATGTACCATCCATACCGGGTGTGACAACGCCACTGCCGGGCAGGGTGAGATGCCCACCCCACACCAGGCCCAGAGCTGGGCCCCAGGGTCAGAGGGCTTGGGATCCTGAGTCTTGGAGGCTGTGGCTGGCAGGCCCCACTTCATACCTAGAAAGGGAAGCTCAGAGAGGGGAAGCCACTGGCCAAGGCCACACAGCAGGCTGGAGCCTCCCAGAATCCAAGCAGGGGCTGTGGGGGAGGGGAGGCACAGTTGGTGACTGTGGGTTCTGAGGTGAGTCATCCCACTGCCTGGAGGCCTCAGAGTCGCCACAACCCCACAACCGCGAAGGCTCAGACTCTCACAGACGTCTGAGTAAGCGAATTTAGGAATTTCTAAGTGTGGGGGAGGGGAGTGGTTGAGTAGGGCTCTGCCACATCTCATCCCCTCTCAGGCAAAATCAACACTCTGTTTTATTGATGCACGCTTCAAATAAGATGTACTCTGAAAAACTTCCTTAGCACGAAAAATACTCCAGCCGCTCCACGAGAGAATTCAGGTCCCAAGAAAGGAAGCGGGTGATGGGCTTGGGGGTCCAGCAAAAAGGGAGGTTTCCCCTTCACAAAACCCACATCCCCAACCAGGTCAGCCATCGCCACGCCAGGCTCCGAAGCCCTCTCCCTGGACGGCAGCGCCCCCTGGGGGCGGTCTTAGCTCCTAACACCACGGTCTCTCATACAGGTGGTACGGCCTTGGATGGGAGCCAAAGTGTGAGCGGAGGGCAGAGGTCATGCAAACATCTGAATGGGAAGGCTGGGCGGTGAAATTGGCGAGTATACAAATAAAATCTCCCATATGGCACTGAAGAAGACTACCGCCGGCTCTGTTTGTCTGGGTCTGGAAAGGCTGGAGGCGAGAGGCCCTAGCGGAGGGCGGGGGAGGGCGTGCATCAGGACTTCAGGCCGCTTCTCGCCCACCCCCAGGTTCTTAAGGTCAGTCTAGAACCCGGAACAAAGAAGCCAGCGAGCTGCACCTCCTCAGTGGTGTACTCCATGAAGTCATAGAAAGGGAACATTTTTCGGGTGTTTCCAGGGCGCCAGATGCCTCACAATGGCCCTGCAAGCCAAGGAGATCAGGAAACCGCGGTGCCGAGGCGGGAAGTCCTTGCCCGGGCTCACACCGCTAGGAGCGGTGGAGCAGGAGCTCTGATCTGGGTCTCCTGGCTGCTCTGCGTTTCCTTTTCCGAAGAAAGGGAAAATGCCCACGGAAGCGTCCAGCCCGTCATGCACGTGCATACCCTGATTATCATACCCTCGGGTCAATAAATGGGTGTCGCTGGGCCCTGTCTGAGTCACAGATTACGGAAAGCACGGTCAGGTGGGAAGCTGGCACTGCTCCCCAACTGTTCCCATGTGACATGGCACGTTCATCGTCCAATCCCCAGCCCTGGTCCACCCATCCGGTCGGAGTCACTCTCTGTCGGTAGAAGCCACGGGGCCCTGAACATGCAGTTGGGGAGAGGAAAACCCAGGCTTTCTCGTCTAGAGGAAGATTATAATCCTCCCTGTTCCCCTGAGGCAGGCTGAGGGGCGCGGGTGCCCTGGGGAAAGCAATGGAGCCATCCAGGGGCGCAAAGCCCCCACCCCACCCCCAGGAGCCACTGATGGAGAGGGAGTCCCACATTGGGAGAGAGGGAGAAAGATGGGGGGTCTTCCCCTGAACCTGCCCGCTCGCACCCCACCTTCCCACGGGTGCTCAGCACCGTGACTGAGAATCACCTGGCCCGAGCCGGCAGAAAATGGAACGTGTCTCCCTTGGGGAGGTGCCGACAGCCTGGACCCGGCCCTGGCGCGGGATCGCTGTGTGCCGCCGGGCTCTGCCTGGGTACGGCTGCCCGGCGCCTCAGCGCACGCTCGCTCACTGCCGCCGCCGCCGCCGCCGCCCGCCGCCTTTCTGCGGCGGTGCTCCGGTACCTACTGTACATCCCCCGCCCCCGCCACTTCCGCGCAACTGCCACCCCAGTAACCTCCACTTCAAGCTGTCTTCCCACTCCGTTTGCACCCTAGCCCAGCTCCTGAGTCTCCGTTTCGTTACCCTTGCTGGACGTCACCAATCCCATCAACCTTCTAAAATCACCTCTCCTGGATCTTTCCTCCCAAGCATTTTCCATTTCACCATTCCACCGTCGCATGAACTTCTGTCCTGCGCGCGCCATCAGCAGGGTATCAGCAGGCGGTCAGGGCAGGCCGCTAACCGCCCCCCCCAAAAAACCCTATCGGAGGGGTCCCATGCACTATTCTTTAAGGGAGGCTGCCCAGGGAACCCCAACTGGTGGCCCAAAAGCTTGCCAGCTTCTGCTTTGCCTCAAAGAAAGCCAGAGCTGGGCCCCGGTCGCCCACCACGGGAAGTGACACGGAGTTAAAGGAAGCTTGTGGGACCCAATGTGGCCAGGGCACCGCGGCTGGGAGAAGGGGGTGGGGGGTGGGGTGCTAGTGACTGGCAGCAGTGCATTCTTCCAGCCTTATCCCAATCTGCACCTCAGGCAACCTGCCCCCCACAATCCCACAGCTGGGGTCTCCCTTTGTTTAATCACTTCAATCTGAGGTTCTTCTTCTGGGCTCAGATCCTGATTTGGGCAGGAGGCTGCAACATATATCAGGGATCAGAGACCAGCCCAGAAATGGCTCCCTAACAATTAACTTGGGGGGGAGGGTGGGGGCGAAATTAACTTTAAAGTGTTTGAGTGACTTTCAACAAATCACATGACCTCGCTGAGCCTATTTCATCTGCTTATTAAATAGGGATATTAATATCCATTCCAGAGGGCTTTGAGCAAATCAGGCTGGATGTAGGTAATGCCAATTTGTGGGGTGTTGAACAAATGGCTGGCCTGTTTTCCATGCCTCCTCTGCACCCTGACAGCGCCTCCAGGCCAGCACTGACCCTATTTCTCACTTATGAGCAGCTGCCTAACTGCCCACTGAAGGGAAGGAGCTGCTTGTTAAACAGTCAATCTTATGTTCACATTCACAACCTTTTGCTAAAATGGCATCTAGGTTCCTAAAGCTGTCCCTCTCCCTATCTGGACCAAGCACCACTCAAACATGATTGGCACATGAAAAGATGAGGCTGTGGAGGCAGACAGGCGTAGCTTCTTATCAGTGATGTCAAGGAAAGTTTTTATTTACTCCTTCTCCTCAATTTGCCTGCAAAATGAAGGAAATAATGGTGCCCATCTTCTCGGATTAAGTGAGAACATGCAGAAATCACTTCGCAGTGCATGGCACACAGGAGCAGAATACTTGCTGGCTGTACCTGGCAAGCCTGTCCCATCCCCTATGTAACAGGGCTCAGAAGAAAGGTGTGTCCTCTGTAAAATGGGGGGAGGGATGGCCCAAGAACTATAACCGCTTACATTTATGGATCACTTCCCATGTGCTAGGTCTGGTGCTAAGTGCTTTACACACGACCTCTCATTAAATCCTCACAACCACCCAGGGAAGCGCTATTATTATCCTCAGTTGACAAATGAGGAAACCGGGGTACAGGGAGGTTTTGTAGCTTATCCAAGATCCCACAGCTAGTAACGGGACTCCAGGACTTAACTCTGCCCTCTACTGCAGCTCTCTAAAGCCTCCTATCATGAGACCTCTAGAAATCTGACTTGCCCAGGTTGTGGCCAGAAGGACTGAAGCCGCAGGTCCCTCGACCCCATCTCAATGCCGTTACACCACCTTTTGCTACTTTCCTACAGAAAACCTCAAGCAGGGCAGTGCCTTTTAGTTCCCTCTCCACAGAGGGCCTCTCTTGTGCCTTGAATCCACCCCTACTCACCCAGCCCGAGGCTCTGCAGTCCTCCAGCTACAGCTGCTGGCAGGAGTCCCTCGCCTGCATACTGACTGCCCTGCGACCGCCAGAAGGAAGCTCTCCTGATCTGGGAGTCCCTGAAGAAAAGTCTAAGAAACTGCTTCCTGAGGCACGTTGGAGCTGTGCACCCCACAGGACTCATGGGGACCTGAAGCTTCCCACCCCATCCCTAAGTGCCTCCTGGCTGCCATCCTGGCCCCTCCATACACGTGGAAATCTGTGGCCACATTTAATGTACCGTGTTATCAGTTTTTCTTAGAAAGCTAATAATGTTTATAAAGCACTGTACATCCTTAGTATAAAACAGTGCAGTAGGAAGGTATGATTATTAAGGTGATAGACTGATTAACCAATAAGAACTTTACATCTTTGAGCTATTAATGTCTTCAGAATGAGTTTATTAATGTCACAAGTCCTGGCTCTGCCAGCTCCTAACATGTAACCTCGGGCAAATTCCTTACAGTTTCCTGGTCTGTAAGATATGGATGATATTTTCTACTTCAGGAGGTTGTTGTGAAGATTATGTGAGCAAGGAGATGGAAAGCCCACTGCTGGACATCTATTCAATACTCAATAAATGTTATTTTTTACCAAAATGACATCATGGCAATTACCCAGTTCTCTCTGGAACTTGCCTCTAGATATGGCTTTTACTGTTACTTTTCAAATCAAAAAAATCTCGTTAAGGTCACATATTTTTGACCCGTGTCCTTCAGCGCAGTCACTGTATTATTGAAAAAAATAAAATTGGCTCCCCTGACTTTTTGTTTCCAAAAATCAAATTAACGCTCAAGGGGGAGAGCTCTGTCATCACAGGAAATATGCAGAATGGCAGAAGCTCTTAAAGGAAACTCCCAAAACGGTGTGAGGATACAGGCTGGAGCGACCACCACAGATGACCAAGGGAGGTGGCAGCCACACGAGCGCTCTGATGCCTTCCTCGAAATAAAGTTAGTCACATGCCTTTAGAGTCTGTGGTGTCTGGGGAAATCCACCGACCTAGGGGAAGTCATCTCAGCTGGTCTCGCCTCCTGACCCTGCGGCCAGGATGAGGGTCCCATTACTAAGCTGCTTCCTTCCAGCTCAGCCGGGGCACCGAGTGACGAGCCTCCGCCAAGGCACAGTCACTCTTAAACCTTCATCCTGTCAGCCTCAACTCCCTACTCAGGAGGCTAGTTTGGAGACAACAAACTCATCTGTGTAGCCCTATCACGAAAGGCTAAAAACTGACAGCTCTCTTGGACAGACTCTGGAGGACCCAAAGAGGAACACCAATGGTTTCAATGCAGAAGGGGTCTAGACCAGAGCGTTCCTCTGGACATGTTCAGAAATCAAGTGCGAAAGGAATCCTGAGAGTCATGGCGGTTCACCCAAGGTGTAGCGGGGGAGGCTGATGGTGGAGGGGGTGGGACATAAGAGTTCCCTGCACTTAGTGTTTTAACCAAATGGAGGGATAATCTGAGGCCCAGGAGAGGAGAAGGTGACCTGCTAATCCTTTATACTTAGCTCCCTTGCCTGGCTGTGCTGACCTCTCTGTCTCAACCATGGCAGTACAAAGTACACACAGGTAGATCCGTGGAAAATACTGTATTTGTGTACACAGGAAGGACAGCTGCAAGCCCCTCACAGAGGACACTCTACCCCCGAGAAAAATCTTAGCAGCAAATTCCTATCTCCCTCAGCACTCTGAGTGCAGGTCGAGCCGCAAGGCTGGACTTCCTATCTCTGGGCACCCACCGTACCCTTCCCACTGAAGAATTCCAAGTAAGTCAGGAAAAAGGAACTATTGCCAGATCTGAGGTCCAGTGGGAGCTAGGGTGCCTGGTCGTTCCTATGGAACAGGCAGTGGCTCTATGATGAGGGTAAGGCTAGGAGCGATGCTAACACTCTTCTCTGGGTCCTAGCGCCTGCTGTGTGGAAAGCTGGCAGCAAGGGAGGCACCCAGTGGAGAAGTTCGTTAGTCATGGGTTCACGGGTGTGTGTACACATGCACGAAGCAGGACACAGTTTGTGCATTTCCCTTGTGCTTGATGCCTCCATCTGCCGTCCTCTCCCTGACAGCAGCCTAAGACTTTGCACCTACATCTTTTTGTGGTTATGGATCCAGGCACCGTGTTTCTCTGGACAGAATAGCTGTGGTTCGACAACATGGCAAAGGTAACAGCTGTCCCAGGGAGGCAAGACAGATGACCAGAAGAGTGGTTTGCTCCAACCAGTTCTCGTTGATTTTCTTTTCTTTTTTAAAATAACAGGCTGGTGACAGGTATGGTGGCTCAAGAGTGACATGGTTCCAATTCTGTTATTACCCTGAACGAGGACCCCTTGCTGACCTCCCAGACACACCAAGGCTTCAGCAGACAGAGGCCATTCTTACAGCTGTGAACCTGACTGCTCCCTGTCTTCTCGACGGGGCCTCACTTATCTCTCCCACACCAACAGAGACTTCACATTTCCAGGGTTCCTCTCAGACCTGGGCTGGACCCCATCTGGAGGGTCTGAGCAGCCCAAGGTGTTGGGGGTCCAAACTCCCAGCAGGATGTCCACAGGACCCAATTCTAGACATTGGATTTAGGGGATGAGTTGAGGGGGATCTCCTTGAGCTCCGTCCGCATGCACAGGTACTCCCCGATGACAGCCATGAGCGCAATGCACACGGCTTGGACCAGCCACCAGGTCAGCGCCGAGGGGAAACGGGAGCTGTAGAACCAGCAGCCCAGGAGGTGAAAGAAATGGACAGTGACAGTGAAATCCAGACACTGCTTCCCTCGCCGGATGAAGTACAGCAGGCCCAGGGCACTGTGGGGAGAGGACAGCAGTGAGTTGTCACTGGGTTGTCCTGGACCTGAGATTATTTGGGATGTAGGGACAATTAGGATGACAGCATAGGGGTCAGAAGCAAGCAAGAGAAGTGTGAAGCCAGGCTTACATTATTAGATGCCTAGAGGAACCTGGCAGGTAATGCTGAGAGTGAGTCAGGCTGGGTAGAAGAACAAAGTACGACCTTGATGACAAACGGCAACTGTCACTAAGAGAATCCTAGGGATTAGCGGGGATTGTGGCACCCTGAAGCACACACGTCCCATCTAAAGTGGGGACAAGAGCCAGGTGCCACTGAGCAAGTCATCATGCTAGAAGTCTGGCCTAGAATCAATCCTCCCATTTTTCATGAGAAGCCAGAAATCTGGATTTTTTTTATATAAAATATTCTGATTTTCAACTAAGTGGGAAAATGTTTTAAACACCATGCGTCGACTGACAACTGTGTAAGCCAAACAGAACATATCTGGGGGCCAAATTTAGGCCAAAATCAGCCCTCATCAGCTTTCAACCTCCAGTGTAAGTAAGGTCAAGGTTAGTCATGTGCAAGGCACTGCTCTAGTTAACTCAATTAACCCTTACAACTATGAGATGGATAATGTTAGCCTCATTTTCCTGATGAGAAAACTAGGGCTTAGACAGATGAACTTGTCCAATAATCACTGGTAAAGCTGAGATTCAAAGCCAAGTAAGTGAGTCTGCCTCCAGAGCCTGAGATCTTAATCACTATGCTTACCTACCTCTCAAAAGACAAGCAGTAGTCCTCAGTGACCTTAGACTTCACTCAGTGTACAGATGAGGAGCCCGTGACCCAGAGAGGAGGAAAGTAACTTGGCCAATGGCACACGGACAAAGAACAGAATCCAGTTCTCCAGACTCCCGGTCTAAACCTTTCCTCATCTCCTTCCACACTAGGGAAGTGACCTGAGACAGAAGCTGTCCCACAGGCAGCATGCACAGAGTGACAGGAGAGCTTTCCAGCTAAGTCCAAAGAGCAATGAAAGGAGCTCTGTGATGGAGCCGGTCCCAGAATCGGCCTCTGCCACCCACTTTAGTCCACCAGTCCCCAGGAACAAGTGCCAGCCTGTCTCATGACCACATTTAGGAAGTTAGTTCTGGTGCTAAGACCCCAAAAGCTGGATAGCAAAACTGATTATACTCACCAGGTGAGGGCGTTGAGGATGAAGGACATCATGGAGAGCCGGCCTGGAGGGCTGGAAAAGCCCAGGATCTGAGGGGGAATCACAAATGGAAACATGCTGGAGAAGTGACCCGGCAGAACCCCAGGATCCAGGACCCCAGCAGCCTCCTAAGGAACAAGCATTCTTCCAAGAGCACAGATGACAACATGCCCCCTCATCAGTATGGCAGCCTA